CGGGTGATAAAGAAGGCATTTCTTTCATTTGCCTTATTTCCAGTGTTGCCAAAGTGGAGACTTTTAGCCACCCTGTAAATTGCTGCTTATGGAGTTGTGCAGTGCAGAGCAGGTTAGGTAGTCACTCAAAATTAGAGGCACAAAGTTATAGGTTAGTGTATCAGAACATGGATTCAGCAGGCTAAGTATGTGCCAGCCTCGGAGAACAGCGTTGGATTGAACGTTGCTGAAAATCATCTGTGTGGGGGTCTGGCCATGCAAATGTGAAAGCCCCACTGAGACCCTTCTGTGAGTCTGGTCCTTAATGTTCTCTCTCTGGCAGATGAGCAGCAAATTGTACATAAGGTCTGAAACGGATTCATTCTTGACCATCTGTTTTCTTGCTTTAACTTGTTCTTGAGATGGCTTTTTGTGCCCTGCCATTGTTGCCTTTGTTCCCTTGGATCAGGTGCTCTTGGAGAAGTTGATCAGCCACAGAAGTTTTTTTGTGATAGGTCTAACAAAGTGTAACTGCTCCTCAAGACTCCTCTTGTAGATTTGCAGAGAGCAGGTGCTAACTCTCATGCTTGAATATCTTTGATTCAAATTTGGAGGTATTTGCAAAGTTCGCATTCTCAGTAGAGTGGTAGAATACATCCTTACAGAGTTCCTTTTGCACCTGCCTGAGGAGCCGATTCCTGTGTCGGTGGCGACCGTAAGCCTCCCTCTCTGGGCAGACCTCTGCGGAGGTGGTCACCGTGCAGTTTGTGGTTGAACCACCAGCAGCATGTCGCATGCTTTTGTAGCTGATGGGTGGGGGAGGAATAAAGCTGGATGATTTTCACTGGAAAGAAGACAAAAATGTTTCCACTTAATTTGATTGGCCTGCCATTGCAGGAGCTGCTAATGATGTCTGCATGGGACTCGGGGGACCACTCAAACTGGTGGAGGGAATCGTAAGAGATATTGCTAGTAACTTAATCATCTCCTTTGATGCTGCGGTAGAGGTTTGTATGGTGTCCACTGCTGGATGCTGTGTAAGAGCACTTCTGAGGTAATTAGTTCCCTGTCCTGAAGGTGAAATTTTGCTTGGGGAGGGGAGTGCCAGTGAAAACTAAAACCCATTAGCTTTTCTCTCAGGAAGTTTTGCTGGGCTAGAGAATAACATGATCTTTAGGCATTAATAAGGCTTAGCCTTGATGGGAGAGTCTGTTGTGAGAAAAGGTCCTCGGTCTTTTCTGTCCACAAGGCAGCAGTGTCTGTGACCAGGGTGGACTGGCTCCTTCTCTCTGCACCCATGGGAAGGCAGGGGCTGGTGTGCCTTGGTAGCAGGGGGTTTGTCAAGTGCAGTTTGGCTCGTCCTCTGGTGCAAGCAGCTTTTCACCTTGTGTGAAAAGGTCCCAAAAGGCCCCGTATTTGGAAAGCAATGAGCAGCTGCCTTAGCCAGCACAGCTCCTGAGACCCCGGCCCTTGCAGAGGGTCCCGGTTCTTGCTCACCTCCGTGTGCTGCCTGCTCGTTTCTATGCTGTGGCCACTTAAACTCCCTGGGTGCCCGACGGTTTAGTGTAACCTGAGGGAGAACATGTGTTTGCAGCAGGAGCGGTGTGTAGGGTAGTGTACGTCTGTTAAAAGTAAGGCCTCAAAGGTGCTGAAAACCCTCTGATGACCTAATAATAATTATTAATGCTAATAAAAATTAGTGAACTCCTCACCTCCTGGCAGAAGGCTGGAATAATAACTACAGCGTCTTTGCTCAGTCAGAGATAAGAATGGGTCACCCTTGTGCAAAAACCTCCTTCCCTGAGCTCCATCTTCTTCTTGCATCCAGTCCTCCATGGGCTGCGTTTTTATCTTCCTGAATTATTAGAGGGAATGGCTTTTTTTCTTCTCCCCTCTCCCATGCTCCTGTGACAGGAGCGAGGGGGAGAGGGATTAGTGAGCTAATTAGAAATGATCGCATCTATCAACACTAATTAACAATCCTGTGGTCTCGCTTGCGTGTTCTTTTGAGCTGCTCCCCTTCGGGACCGCCCCACAATCCCCCCCTGCCTTTGGGGCCGCACGGTCCCTTCTGCGCTGATGGGAAGTGATGGCCGGGCTGCGTGGCGTGTCGGGTAGGGACAGCGCTGCCGGGACGCGCTGTCTGGGCTGCGGCATTCCCTGCCCGCTTCTGCTGTCACCAGGGGCACCTTGGGCCTCCGCGGGCACAGCGCTGCCACTGCTAATGACCGCGGAATGGAAATGGCAGGGGGATTGGTTTTCAACACCTCTTTCTTCTAGTGGCTTTTTCAGTTGTGGCACTGGAACTTAGAGGGCTGCTTCTTGGCAGAGCGAAATGAGCCAAGGTAGGGGCTGTCCACCGACTCCCGCATGGAGCTGGAGCAGAGTGGGGTTCTGTTCCCAGCTCTGCACTAAGACTTCAGCAACAGATCAGGTGCTTGTTCTGGCAAAACGATCCCAAGAATTTATCAATGCAAGGCCTGAAACTGGTTGTCTTCCATTTATCACTGTTACAGCACGTGGACTGGAGGCTGGCAGTAAAAAAGTTTAAAATATTGATAAACTTGCCCGGCAGACTGACTGGAGGCTGGCAGTAAAAAAGTTTAAAATATTGATAAACTTGCCCGGCAGACTGACTTAGCTGAATGGATTGGTTACAGGGAGTCCTACCAGAATAACTGAACTGCTCCTTCCCTACATGTCCCTGTTTAAAAAACAGGATGAGGTGAGAGAAAGACGTGTCTGCGATCAGGGTAGATCCTGTGGTTTTTCTCTGGTCAGATAGATGTTTGCTGGAGAATGCTCAAGTCATGTCTGATTCCAGCCTCCTCGCCTATCTTGTGCTGGCTCTGCAGAGCTAGTGAGGCAAGGAAAGAGCATCCTAAACTTACGCGCAGAAGCTGTACTGGAGGATGTAGGTATTCGCTAAACCAGAACTTCGGAAGTCTCTTGTGCACTGAAGTACAAACAAGAAAGAGCATGGCTTAACTCTGACTGCTTCTGGGCTGGATGATGTTGAAGGGGGAGGGATAGCATTTTGGCGTTCAGGAAGGGGAGAGAACACAGAAGGCAAGTTAGAGGTCATTGTTTTATCTAAGTGTAACATAATTCATCTGGGCACAATGAAATTAGTAATGCTTCATGATGTCTGCTTCAAGCGTTTTACCTTCTGGAGTAGAAGCTGACAGTATTGGTAAAGTAACAGATTCAACCAGACAAAATGGAAGGGAAACTATTAAAATATCCCACTAGGAATACTGAAATACCTGGAGTGTGTGGAGAGGTGGGTGGGCTGTGGAGCTGTCAGTGTGTTGTACCCAACACAAGAAAGGGTTCAGCAAATGAGATTTAGGTGACTGATGAAAGTGGTATGCATTCACTTGAGAGCCTCTGTTGTTCAGAGTGCCAGGTCTCACAAACGCTCCCGTTGTGGTCTCAGGCTGCTGTCTCTTACTCTAGGAATGTCGCATTTGCAGAAGCTTTTTCATGATGCCTGGGGGGAAGATCTCTTTTGGAGGGAATTTTCCTACAGTTCTGTCTCCTTCAGTAAGGAAAAGCAATGCCCGGGGAATAAGAATAATTTGAAGCCTTCTTAACCCTGGAGTATCACAGAGTATAGGGGATGGTGAATATTCCTAATTCTGTGTTACAGGAAAGTATATCCTAACCCAGAGAGTCCTGAGTCCATGAAAGCCAAGAAAAAAGCCCTGGAAGAGGCCTTCTGGGTCTGTGTTGGTGTGTTCAGATGAAACTTTAGTGCATCCACGTTGCCAAGTTGAATTATAAACGGGTGCACTTTAGAAAACAATTGACAGAAACTTTGCTGTACCCCAGTCCTCCTCTTCCTGGCTTTCCAGCAGCTTTTTCTGACTTGCTGGCTGCAAGGAGCTGTTGATCCCACAGTATTCGACCATAAAGGCTTCCAGAGCATGCCGCAGTGCTCAGAATGTCATAACGATTTCTGGCTAATGCAGCTTTTTGGTGGTGTCATCTCTCATTATCACATGGGCTTTCCTTGGGCTTTTCCTTGTCTCTCATTCAGAATTTTGACCTTCCTCATTAATTAAACAGTGACTTTCCTGCAGCCAGTGATTGAGTTATTCAGTAATACCTGCCTAAAGCCATAATAATAAAGGACAGAAGTTCTTTTTAATGCAAATGATTTGGTTCCAGATGTTTTGATCACATTAAACGATGGCTCAAATTAACCAGAGATTGGATTAAGCAACAGGCTACTTTGGCTGCTGTTTCTAATCATTGTGATTCCTAACATGTTTGTTTCCCAGAGCATTTCCTCAAGAAGGCAGTGTAGCCCCCACTACACTATTTTTTTGCTACATGAAAATAGTGAAATAAAAATAATGGAGAGAGCCAGAAGCTATCTAGCATAGGTGCTGCGTTTTTCACAGCAAAGATCTTTCCACTCTGTAAATGTTACCTGCTACTAAGACACTGCTCTGACTTGTTTGTGGTGTTCTGGGAAGGAATTATTCAGGGTGTACAAGAGACTCTGTGGTCCTGGAAGTGACTGTTATACACCTTGTCCAAGGTTTTTCGGGTGCTGCATCATCCTTCTACAGTCTAAGCAAGTTCCTGTGTAGGAAATAGATGGATTAGTGGATGGGTCTTGGACTTAGAAGGCAAAATCCAGAACAGGATTCAGTGGCTTGATCACTCAACTTTGAAAAGAGTTACAGGCTTCCAAGAGAAAGTATTTAACCATTTGAATAACTTACCTGAGGATGTGCAGCAGGTATTTCCTCTCCTAGTTATTAAATCATGAGTAGCTGCCTTTCATACTCAGCCGCAGGTTACAGGTTTAATCTGGAAAGTGCGAAGTAGCAGTCTGGGTGCTGTTTACAGACTTCAGAACAGGGAGCTGCAGCGGGATTTTCTGGTGTGAAATCTTACCGTTTCTGCCAAGGGTGTATTATATGGAGATGAGCAAACAGAGAGAAGAGTGATCTACAAACTTGACATGTCTTTTTGTTTTGTTTTCTTTCCCTGGTTTCTCCATGCAGCTCGGATTGGAAAAATGAAACGGAGGAAGCAAGACGAAGGGCAGGTATGTCCCCTCTGCAGCCGACCTCTGTCAGGATCCGAGGAGGAGATGAGTAGGCATGTGGAACAATGCCTTGCAAAGGTAGAGGCGCAGCAGGATCGCCAGCTGCCATTCCCTTCTCCCTACTCCCAGCTTTGTCTGCAGTTGACCTAACATGGGGCAGAAACTAACATTGCTGAGCTTGCAGGCAATGCTAACTGTCTCCCTAAGATCTGTAGGCACTTCTCTTTGTCTTGGAAGGTGGATTCTTCTGGATTTTTCTCCTGTGTTACATTAGTAACTTTTTTACTTCATGCACCCTTTTGCTGTTATTGAAGTCTAAGTCATAGACTGTAAATGTAGAGCTGTTGAAGTTTATGAAGCCTTTTGTAGGACATCATGCTTTCTGTGTAGCAGAGCAAGAAGAGTTCTTTCTGATCTCCGCCTTTGACAACATCAGAATTATTTTTTTATTGGTTTCTTTTGTAACAGGCTGGCATTTGTAAATGTTGCATGACCGTCTTACTCTGGGAAGTGCATTTAAGGAGAACCATTCTCTTGCTGTTCATCCAAAAGACAGCAAAGAAGGGACAAGTCCTAGGGGAGGGAGAGAGTTGTGTCATGGGGCTTTCTGTGCTTGTTTCTCAGGAAAAGCTCAGAATAGTGGTGGTAACAAATTCATTCTTGTTGCCTCAAGAGGTGCATGGTGTAGAGAGAGGTGTCTTTTGATCAGTGTATCTGAAAAAAGACCTGCTGGGGATCAAAGGAATCTGTGGTTTACGTGATAGGGAAATTGTGCATGCAGGGCAGGGAAATGCATGTTGAAATGCACACTAGCATTTTTGTAGGAACCAGAGCTTAAATTTCCAGGTGTGAAAATGATGGATCTTGCAACTTGTTTAGGTCTTAAGGTTGTAAAGTTTTTCCAGCACCCATTTACTTCTAGATTTAGATCACTGGGAATGGGGGTGGAGCCAGATGCTGCTTTCTGCTCTATACTTAGCTGTCCTGGGAACAGTCCAGTTTTTCTTCTGCATCCCACCCTGAGTTATTAACCCCAAAGAGCTATTTCATACATCTCAACGCTCTGCTCCTGCTTTACCCTGTGCAGAGAGAAGGTTCATGCATGACTGAGGATGACTCTGTGGACATCGAGAACGAGAACGGCAACCGCTTTGAAGAGTACGAATGGTGCGGGCAGAAAAGGATACGGGCTACTACTCTCCTGGAGGGAGGATTTCGAGGTGCGCTGGTGTTTTGGGGCCCTTGTAAATCATTGTGTTGTGGAAGTTGGTCATTGTGTATCTTTAAAGGAAGGAACCTGGAGATTTGCCTTTCACAAGGGTGGAATCTTCAGCCTTTGCCAGAATGTAAAGCGATTTCAGCTTTCTGCCTATCTTGAATGATGAGAGTCAAAGTTTGTGCAAATCTTGAACAAAAGCATGGTGTTATTTCTTGTTCAAGGAATGTGGCTGAAGAGGGAATGAATAGGAATGGGTAGAATGAGGAGATCGTTTTGGGAAAATATCTTCTTATATGTTACACATAGCAAGAAATACGTGGAACTATGTGAAGAGAGGAAAATAGAAATGAAATTGTAAAAATTCCCAGCCTGGAGTGACGAAAGCTGGTGTATCAGCCTCTGGTGATGTATTGAAGGTGACAGCTAAGTCGGTTTAGCACCTGCATAAAATATTAAAGGGCCAGTTGTGCATTTATCACTCCATCCCTTCTAAGGTTGATAAATGAGAATCCAGGAACCCGCTCTGCACCTCCAGCACTGCAAGCCCTTAGGGCTCCCAGACAAACACATTTTATTTTTCCTCCTTCTTTTGCTCCTTGCCCAGTGACGGGGAAATCAGTTACTGAGGAGAGAGTGAGTTATGGCAAAATTTGACCCCTCGTGAGCTTTATTGGTGAATGTAATTTTAGCTAGAAACCTGGCCCCTTTCTTACACTCAGCCCTTTGGCCTCAAAGAGGAGGATTTACTAAACTGTTCATTGGCGTGAACCTCTGGCACTAAGGAGTCTTTCGCAAGCAATCCATGTAGCGCATGCCTAATGAGAGGAGAAGTGCTGGCCTCGTCCATTCAATAAAGAGGATGGGATGTGATCTCTTCCTGTATCAGTTTGGATTTTAATTTAAAATATCTCAAGGGGAAAGGCTGCTCTGTAAGGGAGCTGGACTTCAAAGCCCGTCGTGTGCTCAGTGACAGCCTGGCACTCCTGATCTGCTCTTACCTTCCTCTGAAATTAAATTGTAGCTGGGTTGTAGCAGAGCAGACGATCAGGAGCACAGAGGTGAAGAAGCAGCTGCTTTGGGTTTTAAAGGCTACCCAGTGAAGCTCACACTGTCGCTTCCTGTGTCTGTAGCCTTACCTACCTTAACTTCCTTTGTGCCTGCGTGGAGAGTTGAGTGATTCCAGGCAGAGGTCTGATGAGACCATGCAGGGGCTTAGGCTATGTTTGTGTAGTGTAGTTACTACAGTCTGTAGCGGGGAAGCATTGCATATGTGTGTGTGCCTCTATCGTTGTCGCTGCTAGTCCTGATTAGAAAATGCTGCTCGGTTCGTTTCTGCCCCTTTCTGTGCGTGCATAGTTTCTTCCTTCGTCCTCACCGAACACCTGAGTTTGAGGAGAGCACAATCTTCCACTTCCTTTGGTGTGGACGTGGTGCTGTCTTCCCTTGGTTAACACTCCTGGTTGTTTTTGAGTTAACTCACTGAAGTGTGATCTGAACCTTTCACACTGCTGCAGTCATGTGGAGACCTTCTTTCGAATGAGGCTTCAGGTAGACACAATGTGTGTAATTCATGTGATTAGGCTGTGTAAATGCAAAGTACTTGCTCCTTGTTGCATTTTCTTCCTTATTTTAAGGAATTCTCAAATGCATTAGTTTGCATTATATAGATCAACTGCTTTCCTCCACTGGAGCGTGGACAGATTCTAGCAACAGTCAGGGCTGTAACCTCTACTAGATGGCTGCACACACATGGACAGATACTTCTGTGTTTCATACTTAAACATAGCCTTGCTTCCATCAGAAAGTATGGGGTCTGTCTCTTTTTTTTTTTTTCCTGTTGAGACCTTCATGTCACCTTCAGGAGTGTTTAGTTACGTGAACAGGTACAGCAAAGGATCAGAAGACTAGGGGAAGAGTAGAGCACAACTAGATGCGGTTCTAAAACCCTCAATAATTACTCTGATGGGAAGGCTTTTGGGTTAGACTCCTTCCCTTTGTGGTGCTGGATGAAAGGTGTCTGTAGATCAGCTCGCAAGCGCAGGATCCTCCCTGTAGCATTTGTAGTGAGGAGCATCCTCTCTGTGCAGCTTTTGGTGAAGAAATGACTCCATGTGAAGAAATGGCTCCTCCACCTGAGCAGCCAGCAGGTCCCCAGCACATGCCTTTCTCTCTCCCTGCCCGTCCTCATCTGAAGCACGCCTCTGCTGGCAGCTGGGTTCAACAGCTGCCATGCTCCTCTAGAGAGGTGTCCTCTTCCTGAAACAGGGGAACTTTTTGCCACCAACTTTCTACCTAGTGCTTGGGATGACCAGATAATATCTGCAGGGTACCTACCTCCCTCTGTGCAAGAAGTTTCTGTAATTTGGGAAGCCAGAGCAAAGCTGGAATGATCTCCCATAGTGGGCTGATTGTATTTCTTTTTAAGCAAGTTACACATTTTGTGCTCCCTGTTGTGGCTCTCTTGTTGTCTCTGGCTGCTGGCATTCAGAGGTGAGGTCTCCATAAGTCAGGCCTGCTTTATGCACTCTCGGGTAACCTCAAGGTGGCTGTCTTTTTCGTTTCTCTGCCAGTGTTGGCTCTTGCCATGTTTTAGGGACAGAATTCTTAATTTACAGCCCTGAAGCAAAGCACAACGTTTTGGAGATGCTTTTCAATGCTTAAAACTGCTTTGTCTGGAGTTGGCAAGGCCCTCGTTAACCCCTGTCACCTGAGGCTTTGTGTTTGGCTCGGTTCCCTTTGCTGAGAAGCAGCAGCGAAGTGGAAATCGAAGGGCTTTTATAATGCCAGACAGCCTTTGCCAGGCTACAGGGATGTCACCAGTGTCTAAAGAGATGACATGGGGAAATACATAAAACCGGAGGGGAAAATAGTTGTCCGTGTGTCTCATTAATTTCAGTTTTAATGGTGTGTTGCTTTGAGGAGATGTCACAGCTGGGTGGAGGGGGAGCAGGACACTGTGGCCAGTGTGTGTTGCATGAGTTGGTCACACCACTGGGCAGCATTGCAGAAGTGACTCAACAGAGGTCCTGGCTGCTTCTTTTTATCATTTTTGGTTAATGGACAGAGTTCATATCATACCTCTCAAGGTGAGGAAAATTCTTTGATAATTGTATGAAAGATCCTGGCAGGTTCTCAGGTGAGGGAGGGTTGGGAGATCTTGGAGTTTTTCCTCTTGAAAACAGAAAGGTCAGGGAAATGAAGAGCACTACTCAGGTTTTCTGGAAGGGAGCCTAATACTTGGGAGCAATCACAGGCTGAAACTCTCTCTTGTATGGTTCCTAGGATGAAGCTTTCTTGGTTCCAAAGCCTTTGCAGGGAAGACTTGCTCCTCTCACCTGAGAGGCTGTCTTAGAACATGGAAATTCTTGTCTTCTATGTTGGTGTTACAGTTGCAAATCCCTATATGGGTCTAGTGCAGCAGAGCCAAAGCACACCTTCTTGCCTGCGACGGCTTGGGGTATGTAAGGCAGCAGGTGGAAGGAACAGGAGATGGCGGCAAGGAGGAATGGAATATGGTGTAACTGGGAAGTGCTGGGATCGGTATGCTGTCTCTTAAGCTGTTCGGTTTGGTGAAAGTATTCAGTCAGGAATTATTTGGTACTTCTGGCTGTCCTGGCTTCTTAAAGCATCATTTGCCATCACTTAATTTGCTTACCCAAAACTGGAAGAATGCAAGGTGTAGATGAAGATAATTGGCAGTTATGTAGGGTTTGGAATCACTTTGTTTCAGCTTGAAAGGCCCTGCTTGAAGCAGGGACTTGTAGCAGGAGAGTTCTTGCTTCTGTTTGGGATGGATTCAGGTTACCAACATGAAACACCGAGTGGTGTTTAAATCAAGCTTGTGTTTCAAAGTGAAAAGCTATACAGGTGTAATAATCAAGCATTTCCCTATCTCAGAACAGTGTGGTAAGACTCAAATTTGTTTTGAAATACCTGAATATTCAGTGACCATCTATCCCCATGTCTCTGGATCATCCCTCTCCGAAGCTCTTTGTTGCAGGGGGATTATTTCATGCCATCTTTGTCTAATGAGTTTCTGTGTTTGGGAAGCCAACAAGGCTTCGCAAGTGAAAGCATCGAGTAGCTCCCTCTCTGATGTGTTGTTTGTTTTGGTTTTTTTTTTTGACGCTCAACATATTTGTAGCAATTCTTCTGTTCCCTCTCCAGAATGGATGCACGTTACCCTCAGTGTTTACACTGTAAGGTTATCCCTTTAAAGAATTCCTGAGGGAAGTTCAAAAGGGTTTTTTTTCTTTGAAAGATTCAGTGTCTCTTTTTGTGTGTATGTCTTTTACTTGAAAGAAGGCAAAGGGAGGAGGGAGTGAAAAAAGTGCTTTATCTGAAAAGAATCGCATCAGCTTCGCACTGATAGAAGCCGCTGTCATCTCTTAAACGGCTTAGCACAGTCAAAAGGCAAGAGGACTTAAAACAGTGTCTTACACAGGGATCGATGGGTGGAACACATAACTGCAAAAAAAAAAAAAAGGCAGCACAGGGGGAGAGATAACGGTAATGATTGCATTGAGGGAAGCTTGAGGGAGGCTTGTTCTTTGTAACACAGCTTCAAAGGTGTCTGGACTGGTGCCTAAGCAAACTGTCCTGTGAAGTCGCTGCCTCTGTAGGTCTCGGGAAGGAGGGGGGGATGCTCGCACCCTTCTGTTTCTTAGCAGATGGGACAGAGATTAGTAAATGCCAGGTTAGCGCCTCCTTCTGCTGCTTCACATTTGAGGAGAGGTTTTTGTCACTTGGCCTCTCACCTTCCGCTCCAGGAAGGCGGCTTGTCCAGGAGAGGGGAAGGAGGGGAGGGGGCAGCAGGAGCGGCAGCGTGCTTAATGTGATTGAAAGGCAGTTAAAATGGCGGTGACCTTTTCAGGGGGAATTAGATTGCCTGCCAAGAGTGGTTAGAGGGAGTGATAACGCCAGCTTGAGGAAGCTGTCCAGTCTGCTTCAAAGGGAGAGAGACAGAGACAGGGAAAGCAAGCTAGCAGCAAGTACCATTTA